CTTCGACGCCGTGCGCGAGCACCTCGTGCCCGACTTCCACACCGTGACCATCCTGGGCCGCATGGGCCGCGAGGCCTTCGACAAGGAGGTCCTCGCGCGCGACGACGTCCGGTCGGCGGACGTGTCCGCCGTCTTCCGCGCGGCGGCCAACGTGCTCCTCGCCGCGGCGGGCGAGAAGCCGCGCAAGACGCCGTCCTACTGGGAGGCCCAGCTCGTCTTCACGCCGAAGGGCGACGTCCTGGTGCTCGCCGGGCACCACCCGTGCGCTAAGTCGCCGGAGTCGCTCATCAACCGGTGGCTCTTCGCGGAGCTCGAGGCCGTCGCGTTCCGCGGCCTGCGCGACCACATCGTGCCGCTCGCCGCGTCGCCGCTCATGTGGTCGGCGAGCTTCTCCTCCGGCGCGGTCTACAAGCCGACCGCGGTCTTCGACGACCCCGCGTACTCGGACTGGACCGAGCCGCGCGGCGACGAGAACGACCCGCGCGTCGGGCGGGCCGGCGCGGCCTCGCGCGTCGAGCGGTCGAAGCGCATCGTCGACCGCGCCGAGGCGGGCGCGGAGCCCGCGCCGCGCGCGCTCCTGAGCGCGGCGCGCTTCTTCGCCGCCGCGTCAGGCCCCACGCGGAGCCCGCGCGCGTTCCTGGCCGCGCACGGCTACGACGTCGGCAAATTCAAGTCCGCGTCCAAGGCGCGCGACGTCTTCGTCGCCGCCGCCGACGCCGAGGGCGTGCCGCTCGCCGATGAGGTGACGCGCGCGCTCGACGCGTTGGTCAACAAGTGCCCGCTCCTGACGCTCGCGGAGTTCGGCTACGACCTCGGCGGGCGCCCGGCGTCCGAGGCGCTCGAGTCGAGCCTCGCCGCCGCCGCCGACGCCGGCGAGGAGCTGGAGCCGCGCCTCGTCGGCGCCCTGAAGCAGCTCGCGGGCAACGCGAAGGGCGGCTCGTGGAGCCCGCTCCTGACGCTCGCGGAGTTCGGCTACGACCTCGGCGGGCGCCCGGCGTCCGAGGCGCTCGAGTCGAGCCTCGCCGCCGCCGCCGACGCCGGCGAGGAGCTGGAGCCGCGCCTCGTCGGCGCCCTGAAGCAGCTCGCGGGCAACGCGAAGGGCGGCTCGTGGAGCCCGCTCCTGACGCTCGCGGAGTTCGGCTACGACCTC